ACGGGGAAATTTCGAGACGGGGTGAGCTTTCGCAGGAGGCGGCGGGGATTGTCAGAAGGCCATATGAGAAGACGTCTCTGGCCTCGGAGACGACTCAGAAAACTTCTCATCTCAGAAGGCCGGATGCGTCATGCGCTTTTGGTGCAAGACTCCCTTTTGCCTCAGACGTTCGAGGTCTTGTTTTTTTTCAGTGCTGGGTCCCCAGAGCTCTTGACCCTGCCCCGGAGGCCAGATTTTCCTCCTGAGTCCTTTCTGAAGGTCCCGGGGGCAGGCGAGGGGCCGAAAGTGGTGAAGCACCGCTGCCTCGGTGTTTCAACGCGCTCGAGGTCGGGGTTCTGCCTTCCCCCCTGCAGAGCGCCGCCGATTCACCTCGTTTCCGCCTCCCTCTCCGCCGTCGGGACAGCGAATTGTGGTCACGGCTGGAGGATGCGCTCTCGTGCGCCGTACAAGCAGACACGTCTTGACCTTCGACCGACAAACTTTTTCCCGGGCTCCCGCTCGCCCGCGCAGCTCTCTCCGGGGCCGGTCTCCAGACTGCCCGACGAAGGCATCTATACACCACCACCGTGCCAGACCAGGGCCATCCTGGGCCGTAGGATGGTGTATAGACCCTCCTGGCTCGGCCAGGAGGGCGTATACACCATCCTAGGGCCCATGATGGCCCTGGCCTGGCACGGTGGTGGTGTATATATGCTTTCTGCGTAAGACTGACGCGCGCGCCCCGCCTCGCTTCGCCTCTCCGACCGCCGCGCGCCTGCTCCAGCGCTGGCCCGCTGGCGCGCCGAGGTCTGTGCCGGGCGCGGCCGCGCCTCGGCCTCGGGCGGCGGGCCGGACCGCAGGGGCCGCGCACGGGGGGAGGCGGGAGGGGCGGGGGAGGCGGGACTGCGGCGGGATGGTGGGGGGCCTGAAGGGGGGCGGGGGGATCTCAGGGCTCGTTTCGATTCCTCCGATTCGATTCGATTCGATTTCGATGGCTTCCGATTCCGATTCGATTCGGTCTGGGATTCCGATTTGGGTTCCGATTTCTTATCGGAGGCATACTGGCCTGCCGATTTCCGCCGATTCGACTTTTTCCGACTCGGCTGCCGATTTCCGCCGATCCGATTCATTTCGATCGCCGATCCGACTTGTCGATCCGATCCTGGGCTCTCCTGGGATCTAGGCTCAGAGGTTCGATGTTCGATGGGGGAGCTCCAGGCTCCCCTGAAGAGGGGGGTTCTCCAGATTCCAGAAGGAGGCCGCCATGGGTGATCCACGAGGCTCCAGGGGGGGCGGGCTCACGGGAGGGAAGCGGGGAGGACAAGGAGGAGGGGGGAGCAGTGTGCCTCGTTCTGGGCTCCCGGGCGCGATGCCATGGGTGCGCTCCGCGCGGGGCGTCCGCATCCGTGGGGTCGCGGCCGAGGAGCCGGGGCCCGAGAGGCCGTGAGTGTGGAGATGTCTTCCGCGTGGAGGGCCCGAGGGGGGCGGGTCCGCAGGTCCAGACCCTCGCGAGCCATGGGGCAGATCACGGCAGAAGGTCTCGTGCTGTTGTCGGGCTCTGGAGGGGCCCTCACCTCACCGGGCCTCGGGAGCGTCCAGCAACGACTCGGGACGAAAGGCCGGTCCTGGCGAAGGGGTCGAGACCTCGGGGGTCGGCGCAACGAAGAAATCGTGACGTCGGGGGTCTGGGAGAGGGGCCCTGGGTTCGGGCCGCCCCTCAGATCTCAGTGCCTACTCGTGGCCGAGGCTCGCCGTGGCCAGAACATCCCCCTCCGCTCCCCACTCAGCGTTCGTTTCGGATTATGTTCGTGGTATAGCGGCCGTTACCGGGGAAAACCCGTCCCAGGGAATAGGTCGAAGCCTTTGGGGGCCGACGTTCCGGAAAAAGTCATGACGTCCAGGGTCCGTGGGGGGTTCACCTAGGCACTCGGGGGGCCCCGCGGAGTGCCCTGGCGCGGACGGAACAATCGCCCTGCCGGGCGTGCGAGAGCCCATGGCCCATGCCCTGTCGGCCCGTCAACCGTGGTGACCCGCAGCGGCCAGGGCACCCGCCAGCCAGGGCCTGCGACGACTCCCATCTCCCGTGGAAGAGCCGTCGGCCCATCGATCCACGAAGGACTGGTGACGAGGTTTCCTTTCAGCACGGGCCCGTGCGATCGCAGGGACACCATCAGGGGCTTGCCACCTGCCAGCGCTTGCTGGGCTGGCTGAGTGTGGGTCTTGAGCCGTCCCGCCCCCGCGCCCTTCCGGCCCCCCGCCCTCCCCACTGCTTCCTCTTCTGGTGCCTCGCCTGGGCCACGGGGGTCCCGCACGGCGCACCCCGCGGGCCGGCGGGGGCCTGGCGGAGCAGGGCCCGGGAACGAGGTCATCGCTCAAAGTGGAGACCTACATCCTCGACTTCTCGCTGATGACCCAGGTTCCTTGGGGGGGGGGGCTCAAGGTGGCACGAGCTTCGGGACTTCGGCACTTGATGGTGAGCCCTTCGGCCTGGGCTGCAGAAGTCGCGCCACCTTTCCGGCGCAGCTTTCTGATCCTTCGAGGTCTGCGACCCGGTGCATAAGTCACGACCGTGCTCCCCCGAGCCTTACATTCGAAATTGCCGAATCAACGAAATCTGCGTACACCCACTGTCGCGGTGCTCCGCGCCGATTTCTTGGATCGGCGCGTTGGGCCCACCTGGCGGCGCCGCCGCTCCCCCCCCCTCCTTGGCGGGCGGAGCGCGCCAGGGAACGGGGGGCCGCCGATCCAAGAAATCCGCGGAGACCTCCGAGAAATGAGGTGTATGCCTTTCGTTTGATCCTCTATGCTTGGCATCATTCGGACGTGTGCATTTTTTCTCGGCGAGGAGCATCGGCGCAGCCGTGGTGAAGCGCATGTGCGAGGCCGTCTTCGCCAGGAGCCCCCCCCGAGTAGACTGGGGCGGTCTCAGCACCCTGGCGCCGCCTTTGGCCGCGCGCCTGGAGCGCTGCTCCGCGCCCCAGGGTAGGGGTGGTTGAGACCGCCCCAGGGGACAGCTGGGACTACTCGGGGGGCCTATGGAGGGCAGCCGGGACTATCTGGGAGGGCTGTCTGTGCGCACCCCGAATTATCTAGGGCCATCTGCCAGGACTATCTCAGGGGGCCTGTTGAGACCAGGCTATCTGCCAGAACCATCTGGGGGGCCTGTTGAGGCCAGCCGGGACTGTGGGGGGGCCTTACCAATTGCTCCCTCGTATAAGTTCCAGCGTGGTCCCCACTGGGCCACATGCTGGCATGAAGCCATGGACTTGTGCACTTCCGACCGATTGCGTCCAGGCCGCATCCAAGGTAGGCCCAACTTGAAGCCTCAAGCGCCCGCGGTGCGACAGCACGGCTCCAGTCTCGTTGTGGATCTTCTATTGGTTCGGTCATCGGGTTGGCCCTGAGCCGGGCCATTCGAGGCGAATCGGGCCGACAAGGCAGCGTCCTGACGCTCGCAAGGCGCAGAGGGCACCATCGTGAAAGGGCCAGGGCTGGGACGGGACAGCCCTTCTGCCCGCTCGCCACTGCTCGTGGGCGCCGGGGGGGGAAGCGGTGGAGGGCAGGCCTGCTCAGAAGGCGGCGGGGCTTCTCAGAAGCCCTCCGGCCTGCCGGTAAGCCGCCCGTGGCTCTGGAGAGAAGGCGCAGAGAGCTCTTCGGAAGGCGGGAAGCGCTGAGAAGGCCCGCCCTCGCTGCATGAACGGACAACCAGCACCCACACGCAGACGACCTCCAGATGCTCGGGGTGTAATTCCGGTGTGGGCGATGGGTGTGTTGTCGGGTGGGGGTCCCCGCTCGAATGGCAGCCCCCCTCGGGGTCTGACAATCCGCACCCACACCTATAGCGCCTTCGTCGCCTTGCCCTTCCCCATTCCTCCTTCCTATAGATTTGAATGTGCGCTTTCCTTCCATCACCTCTGCCTTCCCCCTTGGGCGCGCCCGCCGAGCTGGGTTTTCGGGTCAGAGCTCGGGCCTTCGGCGGCCGTTCGGGACGACCCGGGCAACCCCGAAACGCTCTCGGTGAGGCGCACCTGCTGGAAAGAATCCCGAGGCCCGAACACGCCGCCTCGAACTGGGGAAACGCCTGAGGTCGCGCAGGAGTGCCGAGCACTGGCGCGCAAGCGCGGAGGCTCAGTGGCACTGGCGCCTCGCGCGGGGGCCCCCGTGGCTGAGCCTGCACCCTCGCAGGGGGGCTGCGGTCGGGTCGTCGGGCGCGGCTCGTGGGCGACAACCGTAGCCCTGGCCTCGCGGGCCGGGCCCCAGAGCCGCGGACCCCAGCGGATTCGGGACACCTTTTCGCAGATGCCCCGCGCGGAGCGCATCTGCGCGACTGCGTGCTCGCGCCCTGGAGTCCAGAGCGCGAGGGCGCGGATACGGATGTGTTCGCCGCTCGTGACCAGTGGCGTCGTTTCCGCGGCGCGCCTCCCGCGAAAGCGGCGGGGGCACGGAGGCCGCCACGTCGAAGAAGAACGCCCTGCGCAACATCAACCGCAAGGCGAGGCCCCGTCCCGCCAAGTCGAAGAAGAACGCCGCCGGCCCTCAAGAGGCCCAAAAAGGTTCCGATGCCGCTGCTCTTCCCTCGCTTTTGCCTCTTTGGGCCTCCTGGGAGGCCCTCGTCGCCACGGCTGGGTTCGCGTCGAAGTTTTGGTCAGAACGCACTCCAGGAGAGACCCGGGGAGTACGGTCGGACCGAGGTATAAGATCGAGGTCGGTTCGGGGTGGGTACCCTGATGCTCTCCGTGCTTGCTGGATGTTCTCGTGCATCGTGGGGGAGGGCACCCTCGAGTGATCTTATGCTTTGTGGTGCTTTGGCCGGCGTAGGGTCTCACGACCCATGTTCTTGAAGGATGTTCTTCCGTCCCAGATCCGACCGTAGCGGTGTCGGTGCCTTTTGGTTCCCCCGGCCCAGGGCCGCGGGGCGGCTCAGCTTGCTCTCGCCCGCCGCCGGGTGCTTCGGCCGCTCTCTCGACTCGGGGGGGTCTGCTGGGCGCCCGCGGCCCCCGGTCTGCCGGCCGGCCTCGTCCTCTCTGGGCAGCAGCTGCTCATGTGCTTCTGCGCCTTTTCCGCTCCCGTCTCCCTATCAGGCGGCACCTGCCTGCCGACTGTTCTCTTGCCCGTTCCGGAGCGGTGAACGAGAAGCAGTCGACGCAGGGCTGCAAAGCATTCGGGGCAACGTGCAACGCAAGACTCGAGTCAGCCAGACCTTGGGTTTGCCGATGCTTTCCGACGGCCCCGCCCCGAATCTTGACGGTCCAGTTTTCGTGGGATGCTGGCAGCGGGAGCTCGCGCCAGATTTCAGCTTGGGCCTCGTCGTTCTCCTGGCGGCCCCGCCGGGCCCGCCCGAGCCCCCCCGAGAACCCGAGTCTGACGCCTCCCCGAGACATGCTTGCCTGCAGGTTCGTCAGCCGCTGCTGCTCGTCCGAGGCGCCGCCACGCGCCGTGAGAGGCCTCGCCCCCGCCCGGCGCTCGCCTCCGCCCCCCCCCGGCCGCGGCGGCGATGTCCCCCGCCGCGGCGGCCGCCGCCCGCGCGGCCGCTCGCGCGCGCGCCGCCCGCGCCGCGGTGGGCCGCCGCGCGGCGGCGAGCTGCGGCGCGGGGGGCCGCCCCTGGCGCGGCGCGGCGGCCTCCGCCGAGCCCCGGGCGGGCAGGGGCATCTCGATGTCGGTGCCCACGCTGCTGGTGCAGAGGCCCCGCGTGGAGCCCATGCTGCTGGTGCTCCCCCGCAGACGCCCTGCGCAGTCCACCCGCGCAGGGAGGGTGAGCGGCGTGGCAGGGTTGCCCTTTTGCATCCTTCCCCTTCGGCCCCTCCTTGGGCCGCTCTCGCTGGCCGCGCCCTGCTCGCAGAGTGTCGACACTTGTCCCAAGGCGACCCAAGGGAACCCTTCCAAGGCCCTTGCATCCTTATCGTCGTGCGTCCCTGTTCTACGGGCTTGCAGTATGCACCGTACCGCGGTGGCGTCTCCCGAGGCGTCGTCGCTCTCCGACCCCAGGAAGGGCTCGGTGCATGTAGTTTTTGTTTCGGCCCCCAGGGCCAAAGCAAACATTGTGCACCGTCCGCGTTGGAACGAGGCCCGACGGGGGTCCAAACATGGTACGGTGTATGAGCGCCGTTCTCGTAGGTGCTGGACCTCGACGAGACGCTCGTCCGGGTAAGCTGCGAGGGAGTACACTGCCATAAGCGAAAGCTGGACAGCGTCGACTTCAGCGTCGACGTGCAGCTTGGTGTCAGCCACAAGTGCCACGTGTCTGTTCGCCCAGGCGTCGATGACTTCTTAGCGTGGATCCAGGAGCGACGGAGGCAGGGCGTCATCGACACGCCGTGGATCTTCACCACTGCCTCTGCGCAGTACACTAAAGCCATACTGCGCCACTTGGACCCAGGCGGCCGTGTTTTCGGATTGAACGTCCTGACGCAGCCGGCGTGCACGGCACCCCGGCTGCCCGGCTTCTTCCTCAAGGACCTCGCGCACGTGCCTCCCAGGCACAACGACGCGGACCTGAGGCGAAAAGTGCTGGTCGACAACAACCCCGTGTCCTGCGTCCTCAACCCAGAGAACACGGTACTCGTCCGAGACTGGCTCGGCAAGGACGAGCCGGACGAGGATCGCAGAAGAAAAAGTGAGCATGAACATAAATTTTCCGAGGTCCGCGCGAATGTCTTAGTTAGGCGTTGGACCTCCCTTCCTGGCGCGCCTGGGGCGCCGCCCGAGGCGCGGCCATGGGGGGGCAAGCGCCGATCCAAACAAATCCGCGCGGTGCTCCGAACGTTTACGGTGTGTCTTGGCGTGTCGCTCCGCCAGTTCTGGCCCACCAAGTTTCGGCGCGACATACTATCCACTTCCCGGCCCCAAAGCGTCAACGTCCCCAGCGTTTCCCTGCCTCCCGCCCCGCGGAGCGCAACGACACGCGATCCGCTTGCAGAGTATAGCGTGTCGCCGCGGCCGCTGCTGCGACACGCCAAGCAGCAGTGTCCGACCGCATGCTTATGCCATTCTTTGGTCCCTCTCGAGGAGCTGGCCCGCGTGTCCTCCCTGCTGGACGCGGTCATCGTGGAGGGCACGGGCGGCGGGCCGCGTGCGAACTACGCGGCGGCGCTCTCTCGGCTGGTGCCCGGGCACGCCGGCTACCGGGAGCGCCTGAGGGCGCTCGGCGAGGGCCTCGATGCTGAGCCCGCTCGCGACGGCGGCGTTCCGGCGCTGCGCGCGGCGATGAGGGCGATCTCGGCGGAGAGCGGGGGCCCCCAAATGGAGCGGTGAGTCAGTGGGTATTCGGGGTTGCCGCACGGTGTTGAGAGCCCCGGGTCGTTCTCCGAGGACGTCTCGGGCGATTGTTGAGAGCCCAGGGTCGTTCTCCGAGGACGTCTCGGGCAATTGGGGCCTCCGATGTTCCAACACCGTGCGGTGACGGAACGCGCGGTGAGGTCGTCGGGGATTCCGAGGTCACCACGCGGTCCGGTACCACACGTTTTTGAGGCCCCGAAGGAGTGCGACAGCATCAAGAGGGACCTGCTCGGGGCAGCCCCCTGAGGCGAGCGGCCCCTACTGAGCGACATCCGCTTTGCCACCGCAGTTCGCTGCGTTCTCTCGGAGGCTCGCCTGTGCATCCCAGTCTTCCCGTGGCGTCTCGGCGAGATCACATGCACGCTGCAGTCTTTTCCGTACCGAGCTGGCTACGCTAAGCACGTCCGCAGGTGCACAATTCGCTGATTCATGTAAGTGTCGTGGGCAGGTCGCAGGTGGAGACCGCGTGCGCGAGCGCCCGCACCCCCCCTCCCCATAGCTGCGATCTGGTTGCAATCGCCCCCTCTCGCCTCATTCCTCGTGACCGACGCCGGTGCTGGCCGGCCCAATCCCCGGCACACAGGATCGGTGCCTGCTCCCTGCAGGCCGAGCCTGGAGGGCAGTCGTGGCACCGCTCCAAGCCGATGCACGCATATGCGCAGTGGGCGCCCTGTCGTCCCCCCCCCGCGCCCCACACGGAGAGCTCCCAGCTCGCGCGGAGGCCGCGAGCTGCGCTCGGGTGTTGCCAGAAGTCGTCGGGGCCCCACGCGCCCCCCCAGCTTTTCGCACAGTTTCGGAGCCCCATGGGGCCCTCCTGGGCCTCGTGAGGGGAGCCATGGAGGCCCTGGCCGCCCCCCTGGAAATCCTGGGGACACTTTGGGCCATGGACACCTGTGGCGACACCCGATCTACCGAAGTCGCCACCGGGCTGCAGCTCAGACTTGTACATGGGACCCCCACTGAGGGCAGATGTCCATCCAATAAGCGAAATTCTCTGCCCCCGCTTCGGAGGGTGTGGGCACGCTCCGCTCCTTCTCGGCGGGCGCGAGGAGCGGAGGAGGAGGAGGAGGAGAAGGAGGATCAGGAGGAGGAGGACCAGAGTGAGCCCAGAGGCATCGGAGGTTGCGGAGGAGGATGACGCTGGCCTCAAGTCCAAGATTTTCATCCCGCGGCGTTCTGCCAGGATCTTCCCTCCTAGTGTTGGTTCGTTCTCCGAGCTTGATGCTAATCGGCAGGCTTTTTGCCCCCTCCAGCGGGGCCGTGAAGTGGTCACATTGAAAATAGCTCGAGCTGTGGCTGGAGCTGCTGCGGTTTGCGAGGAACCTCTGGCAATGCGGGCCCGACCTGCGTGCATTTGAGCCCACGACATCCGGCCAGTGGCGACACAGCGTTGGCGCAGGCATTGGTATTGACGCCTGCATCGCGAGACCACCACAGTAAAATTATCCCAGAGCGACCCTGCCTAGGAGTTGGAGCCCCGAGGAGAGCAATATTAGTAGGAACGGTAAATGCCGTCCTCCTCCTTCTCCTCATCGTCGCAGTTTTAGCAGTAGCGGTAGTAGTAGTAGTAGTAGTAGTAGTAGTAGTAGTAGTAGTAGTAGTAGTAGTAGTAGTAGTAGCAGCAGTAGCAGTAGTAGTAGTAGTAGTATAGTAGTAGTAGTAGTAGTAGTAGTAGTAGTAGTAGTAGGTAGTAGTAGTTAGTAGTAGTAGTAGTAGTAGTAGTAGTAGTAGTAGTAGTAGTAGTAGTAGTAGTAGTAGTAGTAGTAGTAGTAGTAGTAGTAGTAGTAGTAGTAGTAGTAGTAGTAGTAGTAGTAGTAGTAGTAGTAGTAGTAGTAGTAGTAGTAGTAGTAGTAGTAGTAGTAGTAGTAGTAGTAGTAGTAGTAGTAGTAGTAGTAGTAGTAGTAGTAGTAGTAGTAGTAGTAGTAGTAGTAGTAGTAGTAGTAGTAGTAGTAGTAGTAGTCGTAGTAGTAGTCGTAGTAGTAGTAGTAGTAGTAGTAGTAGTAGTAGTCGTAGTCGTAGTCGTAGTCGTAGTCGTAGTCGTAGTCGTAGTCGGTAGTCGTAGTAGTAGTCGTAGTCGTAGTCGTAGTCGTAGTCGTAGTCGTAGTCGTAGTAGTCGTATAGTCTAGTAGTTAGTAGAGTAGTAGTAGTAGTAGTAGTAGTAGTAGTAGTAGTAGTAGTAGTAGTAGTAGTAATAACAGCTTAATACCTACATCTACAGCTAGACCTACATCCACATCTACGCTAGGCTATGCTATGCTAGGCTATGCTATGATATGCTATGCTGCGCTATGCTATGCTAGGCTAGGCTATGCTATGCTGCGCTAGGCTATGCTATGCTATGCTAGGCTATGCTGTGCTATGCTATGCTGCGGTATGTCATTCTATGCTATGCTATGCTATGCTATGCTGCGCGGTGCTATGCTAAGTTATGCTATGCTATGCTATGATATGCTGCGCTATGCTATGCTATGCTATGCTGCGCTATGATACGCTGCGCTGTGCTACGATATGCGATGCTATGCAATGCTAAGCTATGATATGCTATGCTATGCTATGGTCTGCTAATGCTATGCTAATGCTGCGCTACGGAAAGCTGAGCTAAGCTAAGCTAGGCTAGGCTCAGCTAAGCTAAGCTAATCTAAGCCAAGCCAAACTAGGCTAGGCTGAGCCACGCTAAGCTGAGCTAAACTAAGTTAAGCTAGGCTAAGCTGAGATGAGATAAGCAACGCTAAGCTAAGGGGACATAACTGGGGGAACCGCGGGGCGGATGCTGGGGGAACCGCCGGGGGCGTGTTCCACTGCCCGGCCCTTCAAGCATACCGAGTAAGAACCCGTCTAGGCAGAGCCTAGGTAGGGAATAAATGAGTACCAGCTTGTATAGACCCCAAGCAGGTGAAGGGAAAGGACTGGGAAACATTGGGCAATCAGGGCTGGTACGCAATGGACGGGGTGCTTATGGTGAAATTCAAGGATCTGAGCGTGCAGAGGAAAGTCGCGTCGGGACCTTGTGGTCAGGATCTCGTGAGCAGCTGTACTGGGACCCCCAACGGGGAATGGCAACGAAGCCTCGGAGCCGATCTGGGCGGGACCCTGCGGCCAGCTACCGCATCCCCCGCTTCTCGCAGGGGGGCAGCCACTGCTGAGACCCACGGCAGGTGTTGCGTTGTCGACGCGGCGGCGACTCTGGCACAGGCGTTCAAGGGGGAACGCCGCCAGTGGCCTGGAGCCGGCCAAGACTGGGCGCCGCCCATGTAGGGGGGGTGGCGCCAGGGGGTTGCCTCCTGAGAAGGCGGCGGGGCCTCTGAGTGTGCAGGGGGCCTGTTAGCGGCCCGCCCCGCGCTCCTACGCAGCCTCCTCGGAGGCCTCCACTGGGCCTCTGAGCAGGGTCACGCCGCGATCGCTCCCGCGTGGCGGCGGAGACAGGCGCAGAAGCCGCCACCGTGGGAGGAGCCAGCTTCGCGGGCGGGGGGCCACCCAGACAGGTCGCACCCCATGGTGCAGGGACAGCGGGCGAAAGGTGCCGAGGGTGTGCGCGAGGACAGGCGCAAGGATCAGTCACCGAGTCCCCAGGCTTGTGAGGCCCTTCTCTCCCTGCTGCGTGGAGCAAGGGCAGAGATATGAAAGCCTTGGAAGGATGAGCGACCTTCCAAGGGTACCCTTGCATCCTTCCCCTTCGGCCCATCCTTGGCCGCTTTCGCTGGCCATGCCCCGCTCGCATCGTGTCGACGCGGCCTTCCAAGGCCCCTTGAATCCTTATCGTGCGTCCTTCTTATACGTGTCGAGTGTACTCCTAGTGCCGCTGCAGCAGTGGGCTGCCCTGCTCCTCCTGGGGGCAGCGGGTGTGCCAGGCTGCCCCGCGGGCGGGGGGGCCCTGCGGGGAGCGGGCGTGGCCTCGGCGCGCAGGGACGGCCAGGCCGGGTCTTCAGTACCCGCCGGGGCCTCAGCGACAAGCGGCCTCGATCAGTAGTATCTCGGAGGCGACGATTGGGGCGAATAGCCCTTGGGGCGGGCATTACACAGATTCGCCGGGGAGCCTCGCCGAAAGCATGGACCATTGGCGCCGTTGGATACATGGATCGGCCTGCCCCCTGGGCTACTCGGCCTCATCGTCGCCCACGAGTTGTCCACCTAAGATTGACAAGCCCAAGGGCGATGGACGCCTTGGGGATGCGCCCTCAGAAACCGAGGGAGTCTTTAAGAGCGGCAGCGAGACGAGGTGATGCCAATCGCTGGGCGATAGGAGCGTGTTCCAGGCTGGTACAGAGGGACGTGGGAGCGATCGGGCAAGCCCTCGCCCTCGGATGAAAGGGGCATCGCGCCAGAGCTTCCTGGAGCGCTGGGCATTCCAGAGCGCTCTGGCACGGCCTCCTCGTCCTTGTACATCCTCCAGACCCGCCAGCTCGTTCAGATTTCCCATTCAACCGCTGAAGGTCTTTAGTTTTGGTCCCCACCCTTTTCTCTTGGCGGTGAATAGGACTGGTCCTAAAACCTCCTCATCCTCATCCTCCTCCTCCTCCTCCTCCTCCTCCTCCTCCTCGTAGCTGTCGTCGTCGTTGTGGCGCGGCGGGTGCCGCGGACAAAAACAATTACGCTACCGAGGAACCCCACATACTTATATGATGACTGGAGTGATGATAGCTGAAGTGATGCTTTTGAGACTGATGTTGGCGGCCGTTGCCCGCCGATACCACTCACCTCGCTTGCGTCCCCCTGTGCCCTGAGCACGACCAGCACGGATAGCAAGCTTGCGTACCGATGTGCCCTGAGCACCACCGTCACGGATAGTGGCCGCCCTCAGGGACCACCCCCATGCGCGCCCCCTTGTGGTGTCGAGAAAACGCCACGCGTGCTGTGCCCTGGACGACCGTCTCGGATAGCAGCCGCCCTCAGGGACCACCCCCTGCGCACTCCCTGTGGTGTCCATAAAACGCCACGCTTGCTGTGCCCTGGACGACCGTCACGGATAGCAGCCGCCCTCAGGGACCACCCCTTGCGCACTCCCTGTGGTGTCCAGAAAACGCCACGCTTGCTGTGCCCTGGACGACGGCCGCGCTCAGGGACCACCCCCTGCGCGCCCCCTGTGGTGTCGAGAAAACACCACGCCTGCTGTGCCCTGGACGACCGTCGCGGATAGCGGCCGCGCTCAGGGACCACCCCGTGGGCACCCCCCGCCGTGTCGAGAAAACGCCACGCCTGCTATGCCCTGGACGACCGTCACGCATAGCGGCCGCCCTCAGGGACCACCG